GCTGCTCAGGAGTCCAGCCCGGGACTTTCCTGCAGCCCTCCCAGCCGCTCGCTCTGCTCTGCCGGGGGAGGGGGGAAATCCCGGACATTGTGAGTGCTTTACAAATTCCCCCTGGACGCTATTTTTAGCACAAAAAGGAGGACGTGTCCGGGTAAATCCGGACGAATGGTAACCCTACGCGGGGCCCAATTCAGCCGAATCGGCTGAATCGGCCTAAAGCCGGCCCTGCTGCACGCTACACATTGTTCCAGCCCCCCTGAGTGGGTGGGGTGGGGAGATCACGGGGCGCTCTCAGCACTGAGGCCGGGTCCCTGTGCAGTGGGGTGGGCTGCAGGGGTGCCGGGAAAGGCTAGTGTGGGGGATGGGAGAGCATCGAGTTGGGAAGGGGCTCCCCTTAGGAGAGCCCAGGAGGTGATGTCCACTGAATCCTAGTGTGGATGCTCCGGGGGATCCCCGGGTGAATCGGGTGTTTGGTGGGGTATGAGTTGGTGAGACTGAGTGTCATGGCTTGGGGTCTGCGTCTACGGGGAAACCACAAAGTGGTTTCAACAAAAAGTGACCCAGACAAGCTTTGGCCCCCAAATTTATTGTCGAAATAGACAACAAGGGAAACTTCTCCTCGTCCCACATGCAAAGTCTGCCCCTGGGCATAAAAATGCTGTAGAAACCCTCATCCAGCACATGGACACTGCCGGACACACACCCCACTCCCATCCCCGACCCTATCGTTGTAATAGAGAACACGGGTTGTGCTGCTCTGAGACCATCAGAAAGGGGGTGGGTGAGGGGGAAAGGTGCAGAATAAAAAATAGTTGTGTGGATTTTTTAATCCAAAACTAAAATTTACACTTGGAAATTTCCTGCTGGAAATTTTTGTAAAAATGACACTTTCCTCCCTCCTCCCCCCCCCCCCCGTTACTTTTGGATCATTTGGATCATTTTTTGGCTGGAAAACACAGTGATCAAAAATATTTCAAGCCGTTCTACTGTGGTGGGTGTTTGGGCCAGTGGGCTGTGCATTGAGGGAAGTCAGTGGTGCAGCTGGAATCTCTGGGTTGTGTTTTCCTGGGGGAGCGCTCCTTGCCCTATGGGAAGGGCTGTCTCTGGGGGGTTGGGGGGGTGTTTCTGCATTTTGAAAGTAGCTTTTGAGAAAGCCAGTAAGGAGTTAAGACAAGTCACTGCACATCTGGCCTCTTTCCAGTTTATTTCCTCTCTTTTGTTTTCTTCTAATGCCCAGCACATTATCAAGGAACAAAAGAGAGACGTGGCTGGGTTGTTACTGCCCACAGAAAGTTCTGGTTTTAGAATCTGGCCACATATTTTCTTTTTGGTCCTGGGAATTGCAGCTGTGTAGAAGAATTTGATAGCTAAGAGGAGGGAGGAGAGCGGGCATGAGATGGGAAGACTCAGTAGCATTGTTGAAGGCAGTGTGTGTGTGTGGGGAGGATAGGCTGGGAATGCATGGCGGGGGCGGGGCGTGTGCAGGGGGCTCCTGTGTTGAAGAGAATAGGACTGTGCACAGGGCAAGGGTCCGAAGTGAGGCGCTTAGTCCCACTACGCGGAGGCATCAGTGCTTAAAGACTCCATTGTACACTGAGGCAGCACTGATGGGGAAACTGAGGCAGAGTGCCAGGCGAGCCTGCTGCTTTGGGGCTGGTGTCCTTCCATGCTGCACCCCTTTTTGAGCACCAGGTCTCCCCCAAAACAATCCTCCTTGCCCCAAAGCTCCCCCCACAGTCTTGCTTCCCTCTCCCACAGAAAGTGTGTGTGCAGGGGGGAGAAATGGCTGTGTTTGAGAGCATAAGGGGAGGGAATATGAGGGGGCTAGGATAGGCCTGATGGGGAGAAGGGCAGTGCTTGGGGAAGGTGCTGGGATACTATAAAAAGGGAAAACCTGCGTCTGGGGAGCCTAGTCAGAGCTCTGCTGTGCTCCTGCCTCGGTTTCCCCTGCCAGTGCATCTGAGGCAGCAGTGTCTGGGGGAGCAGTTTCAACCAAGCATGTAGCCTCAGAACCTTTTAAAGAGTGGGGAAAGTCAGGTCTAGTAATCTACCAATGGGAACTTTCCATGCCCCGTGTCCCAGCTCTATAGCAGCGATGACTTCGTGACCCACCTAGTGACGGTCCACAGAAACTGCCCTTTACATGTTCTGGCTGTTCCCTCTTGCGTTGCAGAACAGCCAAGAGCTGGAGAACGTCGGGAGCCAGGAATCTCACCAGCCGACTGGGACTGAATCCCCGCGCCGGGTATAGCGAGAAAGCGAGGCACCCAGCGCGTGCCCGCATGTCCCACCGAGACGAGAGAAAAGAATGGATCCCGCAGGGAAGAAACTGTGGCCAGAGTTTAATCCTGATATCCGTGGAAACCCCGAGAGCGGAGCGGAGCCAGGTAACTTAAGTCTGGTTCTGAGCCTTTAAATGGGGTCTCTAGCTTGGTGGATTGTAAAGCCAGGAGGGATCACTGTGATCATCTGTTCTGACACCTCCCTCTGCCCACACACCTGCCGCTGTATAGCACAGGCCCTTGAATCCCACCCACTGCTCCCTGCTTCCAGCCCACGCCTGCTGGGGGAGCTAGAACTTGCAAAAAATGGGTAAACCTCTGGTTTTGTACAGACGGGGCTCTGCAAATGCCAAAGAGCAGGTGTAGGAGGAATCTGACGTGCCTGTGATTGTAACACCTATGGGAGTGGGAGGAGTTGCTGGGGTGTTTGCTGTGCCTTAAATATGACTGTGGAAAATACCTCCAGAGGCTGAAACTGAGCAGTTCTCTCAGCCTCAGACGGCCCTTGGTTTAATCCCCCAGGGTAAGCAGTTTGCCCAGATGCCCGGCTATCCAGCTCTCCCAGAATCAGGGGGAGCAGGGCTCCTTCCCTACCGAGTTTGTCCAGGAGTGTGTGTGTGCATGTAGGGGTTAGGGGCATGGGGAGAGCTGGGGCCCTGGTGTCAGATGTGAGACCTCGCACACACGCATCCACCCGCCCCATTGCAAGCCTTAAGAAGCTGGTCTGCCTCCAGCAAGCTACAGTTACATGGTCAGATGCTCATCAAAACCTCTCTTATCCCTTTTGACCTGAGCGACTCACCAAAAATGTGGCATCTTGCAGCTTGCTCCAGTTACGGGGAGAAACTGACAGCGGGGTCTGGTACCTTTGATGCAGTCTGGCTTATTTACAAAGAAAGTACAAATTCCTGTAACCCCAAACATGGGAAGGGTCAAACCATGGGAGACAGTTTCCTTGCTCACAGTTCCTAGGCTCTTTCAGTCAGCACTGTGCCCAAAAGCACCCTCTCAAGGTTTCTTCTCAGGGCCCCACTGCCAGCGCTTCTGTGTCTGGCTTTCTGGCTGCCTGGCTTTCTGGCTGCCTGCTCCTTCAGCTTCTCCATTGTTTTTTCTTCTCTGTCTTGTGCACACGTACACACACACACACACACATCTACTCACAAGCAATACCTGGCCATGTCCCTCTCCTACATAACTGAAACTCCCGAGTAGCCCATGTGTGCCTCTGTGTTGGGATAGGGGTGCTGTGATTTCATAAAAGAGTTAGTTGTAAAAAAAAAAAAAAGTTATTGTAAAGGAAGGGTGGTGGTCACACCCAGCAGCTTCAACAACAACACAACCACCTACAATGTGATAAAGTCTCTTTGGGGGTCTGCTGAGCCTACCAAGGCTACTTGTTAGTGATGTTTGTCACCAGACAAGCCCAGTGTTGCCAAGGTGTTAGAAGAATCCAGACCACAGGTGTCTGTCAGAGATGGGTATGATGCACCCATGCACCAGGATGGGGTCACTTGCAGCGTTTGGGGGTTGCTCCCCAGTACCCTGTTATCCTTGCTGTCACTCCTGATCTGGTAGCAGGTCACTCTCTAGTACAATGTCTCCCAGGGTCAGCCTTGCTTTTTCCTTGATGCTTTTCAAGGAGACATATTACAGTTGGAGACAACGTCTGTCACTCCCTGATATATGGGACATTGCAGTGGAAAATGCCTCTGTTACATCTAGTCCACAGTCTCCCCTCTCTATACAGCACTCCAGGGAACCCACTCAGGTTTGTGGAAGGGTGTGTGCTGTCAGGATAGGTTTGTTTTTTTGTTAGTTTGTTTTTCTTTTGGGGATTTTGTACCGCCCCCAGAGCCATGGTCCCTGGTTTTTAGGATCTAAGGCAGGGGTCTCAAACTCAAATGACCACGAGGGCCACATGAGGACTAGTATATTGGCCTGAGAGCCGCATTACTGACACCTCCCCCACTGCCGCCCTCGGCCCCACCCCCACTCCACCCCTTCCGTGAGGCCCTGCCCCTGCCCTGCCTCTTCCCACCCCTTCCCTGCCCCCATTCCAACCCCTTCCCCGAAATCCCCACCAAAACTCCGCCCCCTCCCTGCTCCCAGGGGGTACAGGAGAGGTGTGGGGTGTGGCGGGGGCTCAGGGCAGGGAGTTGGTGTGTGGGGTGCAGGAGGGGTGAGGGGTGCAGCAGGGGTGCAGGGTGCAGCAGGGGGCTCAGGGCAGGGGGTTGGGGTGTGGCATGGGGCTCAAGGCAGTGGGTTGGGATGCAGGAGGGGTGCAGGGTGAGGCAGGGGGCTCAGGGCAGGGGGTCGGGTGCAGGAGAGGTTCAGGGGGCGGGCTCTGGCCCGGCATGCACCGGGGGAAGGACAGGCTCCCTGCCTGCCCTGCCCTGCCCCCACGCCGCTCCAGGAAGCATCCGGAACCTGGGGGAGGAGGGGCACAAGGGTCTGTGTGTTGCTGTTCCTGTGTGGAGATTCTTATTCTGCACTAAGTGTTTCTTTTTTTGATTTAGCTTTAACCCCTTCCAAAGCAATATTAAATAAACTGGAAAAAGGCCACTCTTGTACTAGAATAAGAGTCTCCCCATGGGAGGCTGAACTGGTATGACTATTGGTTTAAATTCCCACCTTGGCTTATACTGGGATCACTTTGATAGAATCATAGAAGATTAGGGTTGGAAGAGACCTCAGGAAGTCGTCTAGTCCAACCCCCTGCTCAGAGCAGGACCAATTCCCAACTAAATCGTCCCAGCCAGGGCTTTGTCAAGCCTGACCTTAAAAACCTCTAAGGATAGAGATTCCACCACCTCCATTCCAGTGCTTCACCACCCTCCTAGTGTTTCCTAATATCCAACCTAGACCTCCCCCACTGCAATTTGAGACCATTGCTCCTTGTTCTGTCATCTGCCACCACTGAGAACAGCCGAGCTCCATCCTCTTTGGAACCCCCCTTCAGGTAGTTGAAAGCTGCTATCAAATCCCCCCTCACTCTTCGCTTCCGCAGACTAAATAAGCCCAGTTCCCTCAGCCTCTCCTCGTAAGTCATATGCTCCAGCCCCCTAATCATTTTTGTTGCCCTCCGCTGGACTCTCTCCAATTTGTCCACATCCTTTCTGTAGTGGGGGGCCCAAAACTGGACACAATACTCCGGATGTGGCCTCACCAGTGCCGAATAGAGGGGAATAATCACTTCCCTTGATCTTCTGGCAATGCTCCTACTAATACAGCCCAATATGCCGTTAGTCTTCTTGGCAACAAGGGCGCACTGTTGATTCATATCCAGCTTCTCATCCACTGTAATCCCCAGGTCCTTTTCTGCAGAACTGCTGCTTAGCCAGTCGGCTATATAGACAAGCCTTTATACTCCACTGGTGGTCTGCAGTTTGTGGCTGTCTCCTTGGGTAGGAAGAGCTGGGAAAAGCTGGACTGAAGGAGACTTTCAGGTGTGGGACAGTCTGCCCCCACTCTCCTAGTTAGCTTTAGATGAGATGGCTTGAGATGAGTAGGCAAGGACCAGAGCCACCTAAGGTATGAGCTGAAGCCCCATGAAGGGGCCTGATGCTCATTAGAACTGGAATTTGGGAAGTAAATAAAAGGAACCTAAGACAATTGCCTAGGGAGGTTGTGGAATCTCCGTCATTTGAGGTTTTTAAAAGGTTAGACAAACACCTGTCAGGGATGGTCTAGATGGTGCTTGGTCCTGCCTCAGCGCAGGGGGCTGGACTAAATGATCTCTCGTGGTCCCTTTGCCAAACACAGCAAACCACCACAAGGCAAAGCCCCGCACCACTCCTGTAAGTCCTATGTGACTTGTACTCACAGCCCACGCCAAGTTATTGGACTTTGCAGAGTTTTCTAGGCTCTTTTAGCCCAATCGTCTTAACTCGAAAACTCAACCATCTTGGGCAGCCTGAAATATGTCAACAGCCTTTCAGTTTTCCCAGCATGCTTAGGGGGACTTGGGCTAAGTGACTTCCAACCCCTCCCCAAAATTCCAAGTGTAGCCCATAGGATTATTTTGCTAGCTATTATATCCTACTAATCCAGCCAGATGTATCAAATACTATGTTTCTCTTTCTGAATTAATCCATTTGATTCTTATATTTTATCAGTATTAATTCCTTTGAATTTAGGATGTGTTGAGGCATATGATATGTTTCCTCATAATTATACATAGAATAAGTTTTGCTGAAATGATGAAATGCAAGAAGTCTACCGGCCTGTAAGATCCGGTAAGATCTGCTATAGAGCAAAAAGTATAATCAGTTAAGGGTACGTCTTCACTACCCGCCGTATCGGCGGGTAGCAATCGATTTATCCGGGATCGATATATCGCGTCTCGTTAAGACGTGATATATCGATCCCCGAACGCGCTCACCGTCAACTCCAGAACTCCCCCAGAGCGAGCGGCGGTAGCGCAGTCGACGGGGGAGCCGCGGCCGTCGATCCCGTGCCATCTGGACCCCAGGTAATTCGATCCAAGATACTTCGACTTCAGCTACGCTATTCGCTTAGGTGAAGTTGCGTATCTTGGATCGATCCCCCCTCCAGTGTAGACCAGCCCTAAGAGTATGTCAGCATAAAAGCTGGTAACCTGTGGCACAGATAAGAATGATCCCTGAACTTTGGGGAACCAAAGGGAGGAACGGTACACATCACTGAACAGGTTTATCTGGCACCTACAATTGGTTGGTTTCTGCAGGGTACACCACGACTTGGAGGTCACCAAGAGAGCCTAGGTTGGCAGTTCTGGAGTGAGATAATCCTTATTAATATATAGAGAGTAAGTGTCATAATCCACTAACCTATAGGAGAAGGGTACCCATTCATTTCTTAGGGTATGGAAATAAGATTTGGGTATAGTAGGTTGGGCCTGAATAACATAGTGTCAGGATCCTATAAAATACCTTGTTTGGAAAAAGTCTGGAGTGCTTTTTCCTGTAGCTCTTTCTTTTCTTTGTTCTCCTATATTCTATAGAGTATCTTTTTATCTACCTATCATTCACGCTATCAGCTCAGCTTGTGCAGTATAGTAGAACTACTCAACATTCCTAACTACTGGGGAAGCCAGCACCATCGTGTTATCGGGCATGCCAGGAGTC